CTCCTCATCTGAAGATCCTTAACTTAATTACACCCACAGAGTCCCTTCTAGCACGCAGGGTGACATTAACAGATTTCAGGTATTAGGATGTGGACTTCTTTAAGGGGCCGTCATTCTACCTACCACAACGACCCTATGAGGTGGAGTACAGTTATTATCCCAGAGAAGGCAACAAACGCAGAGAGGTTAGGTCATTTGCTCAGGTCATAAAGCCAATAAATGGCAGGACTAGAATTTAAACTTAGGCAGCTGGACTCCAGGGTTTATGTTTTTAAGCTCTGTGGGCACCAAGAAATGAGTAACTACCAATTTAAATTTCTAACCCCCCGAAGATTCCCATACATAACTACCTGTTAGATGACTCCCCTAAGAAGATAAACCATCACATCCAAAACTGGGCTGATCATCTCTCCCCAATACTTTCATCTTCCGCCCTCAGTCTTAGTTTCAGGGACCAACATCCATCCACTCACCCAATTTAGAAACCCGGGGATCATCCTGGAGTCCTCCCTCCCCTCTCTAGGTCTGGTCCGTACCACCTCCTGCACATTTCTCTTCTTCATTCCTACCAACACTGCCCAAGTCCCACCTTGCATCATTTTTACTTGGCCCTTCTAGTTGTCTCCTAATTGGTTCCTGGTCTCTAATCTGCATGAAATAGAAATCAAAGTCTGTCCTAGCCCTGTGTCAAACTCATCAGTAGCTCCCCATTGACTCTGAAGATTAAGCGCAATTACTTTAAGGAGACTTTCTTCTCCAGCCTCCCATACTGAACACTGGGGCTTCAGTACCATGGAATTGCTTATTCCAGTCTACACCATGCTGCTTCACACTGCCATGCCTTCTCTGTTCCTGCCCGTCTTGATGTCAGGGCCACCTCCCGCCATCCTCACCTGCCTGCCTCCTCCAGCAGATTTATCTTTAGGGGGCCTTCTTTGCATCCCTGCCAGCATCATGACCCATCCTCCATATTCTCACAGATGTCATACCATGTATCCAATAACGGTCTCTCCTACAGGAAAGTGATTGGGTTGTGTCTGCTCCTTTGTTCCACTAGCTCTGAAAGGTCAGGAACGCTTACTCATCATGGTAACCCTCATGGCTGGACATAGCAGGAAACCAATGAGCATTTTGAGGTGATGTGAGTTGAATGGTGAACAAGCAGGAATGTGCTAATTCCAGAAATTGGGAGAGAGATGGGCTTTCCAGGCAGAGGAAATAGTACACTCAAAGGCAAAGGCATGAAAAAGCAGAAAAGGTGGAAAAACATGGGTAATTTAATGAGGCCAGAAGGAAGAAAGCATGTTGGGGAAGGGCCCACTATCTTGTCCAAAAATGAACAGAGAATAGAGTTTGGAAGGGCCTTATGCGCTAAGCAAAAGAGTTTCTGTTGATGTGAAAGCTTTGGGGAAGCCACATTGAAGAACTTCAAATAGGGGACATACCTGATCAGATGTGTGTTTTTTATCAGCTTTGCCTAACAGCTGGGTAAGTGGTGGATTGGAGGGGCCCAGAGTAGAAGCAGACCACGAAGAAGTCATTGCAATGCATGAGGAGGACTCAGAGGCAGGGGCCATGGCATGAAGGGACAGGCTCATGGGCTTCTTAAGATTTGACATCAGTGGGGCGCCTGGATGGTTCAGTTGGCTAAGTGTCTGACTCTTGATCTCAGTTCAGGTCTTGATCTCACGGTCATGGATCTGAGCCCCATGTTGGGCTCATGCTGGGAATGGAGCCTACTTTAAAACAACAACAACAACAAACACTTGACATTAGTAGGATGTGGAAACTGACCTGCTGCAGGCCCAGAAAAATGAAGCATGGTTTTCATTGGAATGCCCCCTGGGTACCTCCCAACCCATCCTCGCATACCTTGCCTCATGCCCTCAACCTTGACCTCCCTTCCAGGGGTAACGAATGATCAACAACAGAATGTGTCACATCTATTTCCCATAATAAGGGAAGTGAAATCCAAACTTTAATGCTGGAGGGACCTTGGAGATCACTTGGGCCAACCGCCTCGTGTGATAGACAACTAAGCCCAGACACGGGAATGACTTCACTCTGGTAACTCAGAAGATCTTTGGTGGGCACCCAGCCACTCTTTATTGAATCAGCTATTCAGTTCTCCACATGGCATTCATCTCTAATATTTTCATGTGTATTTGCTTATTTTCTGCCTTACCTTAGAATGTAATTACATACATAAGGTAAATTACATTACCTTAGAATGTAATATTTAATAGCTGAGCCCTCGTCTGTCTAAAACAGTGTTTTGCCCACATAATGACACTCGATGGGCATTTATTGAAAGAGGAATAGACCAGGTGTGATCAGGCATCCTGAACCAGTCATCTTTACACAGGACTTGGGTTTGGAGGGTATCCATCCATAATTCTATTTCCTGCTAGGGTTTTTCCTAATCATTCCTGCAGACACTAAAATCAACCACCCAATAATAACTGTAGCTCATGTGGCTTCAGATAGTGAAGAGCTAAAAATAATTATCAGTACATTCCTTTAAAAGTATTAACCACTGACCACCTCATACCTATGGTGACGGCTACTGTAAAAATACTGGGTTACAAGAATGGGGAGCAGTTGCAATCCTACGTACTGTTAGTAGGAATGTAGGATGGTACAGCTGTTATGGAAAACAATATGGTGGCCGCTCAAAAAATTAAACGTAGAATTACCATATGATTCAGTAATTCTTCTGGGCAAACACCCAAAAGAATTAGAAGCAGGGTTTCAAAGACAGATTTGCATATCCATCTTCAAGGAGCATTATTTAAAATACCTAAAAGGTGGAAGCAAGACAAGTGTCCACCAGCAGATGAATGGGTAAATAAAATGTGGTAGATACATACAATGGAATATTATTCAGCCTTAAAAAGGAGAAAATTTTGCCACATGCTATACCGTGAATGAACCTTGAGGACAGTATGCTAAGTGAAATAAGCCAGACACAAAAGGACAATTACTGTATGATTCCACTTATATGAGGTACTTGGAGTAGTCAGAATCATAGAGACAGAAAGTAGAGTGGTGGTTGCTGGGGGTAGGGGTAGGGAGAGTGGAGAATTATTGTGTAATGGCTATGGAGTTCTACTTTTGCAAGATGAAAAGGGTTCTTGACATTTGCAAAAATGTGAGTGTCCTTAACACCACTGAATTGTACACGTGAAAATGGTTAAGATGGTGAATTTTAAATTATGTGTATCTTAAGCATAATTTAAAAAATATGAACCACTGAGGTATGTATAGCTCTTTCCTTTGATCCTTATAATAACCTTGAACTGTTAGAACGGTCCCATTTTATAGTGAGGAAGATAAGGCTCAGGGAAGTGAAGTGAATTGCCCAAGGCACATAACTAGAAAATGGTGAAGCAGAGCCTCATACTCGGATCTCCTGGTTCCATGCCCAATGCTGGCTTCCCTCACATCAGGGGAGAGAGTGTATAGTTGAACTAATTTGACCTCTGGTTGAAATATATACAAGAAATCGAGACTTAGCAATTCATGGGGGGAAAAAAAACTATAAATGTGTACATGTGTATATGCGTGTATGTGTGTGTGTGTGTGTGTGAGAGAGAGAGAGAGAGAGAGAGGGAAGGTGGACTGGGGGAGGGAGCATGCAAGCAAGTTCCCAGACACCTGCTTCATGCTACTTCAATTTCCCTCCCTCCCTGAATCTTCAGAGGGCAGGTGTGAGTCAACTGTAAACATGATGAGAAAAGGTCACCCAGTAGTCCCTCAGATGGCAAAATGAGAAGTGACTGGTGTGGAGATTGTCTGGCTACGTGGAACTCAGCCTTTTAAGACGACCAGGAAAGACCGTGGCTCCCTTTGAAATGGCTCCATTAGCTGTCCTCTCACACCCTACCTCCACCGCTTCCTACCTCCTGGGGAGACAAAAGATGACAAAATGTGCTTACAAAACTAAATCAGACCTAGTAAGAGAAAGGGGGGGCAGTGGGAACAGCACTGAGCATGAGTCAAGCCCAATCCTGCTTGCCCAGACCACCAGCTCCCCGTGTAATGCCAGGCACATCCTTCCTCAGCCCCAAGGGTTGGGCTGCTATTCCTACCACCATTTTCATAATTCGTACTGAATTTAGAAGGTAGAGCACACTCTCCCAAGGGGCGTCAAAAATACAAAAGGATCAGCTAGCCTCTTCAAAATAGCTCTTATTTATCACCGGCTTACTGGAATTTTGATGGACACCTCACATATAGTAGCCCTAACCTTTCTACCACTTGACAACTTTTTATGATGAGACTACACTGAGAGGTAATATCACATTTACCAGAGTATTTGCCTAGATGATAAAGAACAGAGTCAGAATTTGTCTATTTCCAAAGTTAAATTCAACAGCCAAGTTATACAGAGCTATGGAAGCATGAGGAGACAAGGAAGAAGTTAGCTCTACCCGTCAACCCCTGGGAAAATCTTCATGGAGAAAGGGGGCACCAAAGTTGCAAGAAAGCAATTGACAGGTAGATGGTGCATTCTATGAAGCAAGAACACATAAGCAAAGTCAGGGTGCTGGAGAATACAGATTTCTAGAAAACGATAAATAATCCTGTTTGGTTTAAGGGTAGTTGTGTTCAGCTGTGGCTGGAGACCATAATTCCACCAGATGGTAAAGAACTTTGAATGCTGTACTAAGAGGATTAGAACTTACTTATATAGGCAACAAGGTACCACCAAAAATTTGTATCAAAGGATTTATCAGCCATTGTCAGTATTGTCTCCTTTATAAGTATTCTTTACATGTTGTGAAGAAATTAAACATATCTGAAGTGTTTCAAAGAGGAGATGTTTGTTTTCATTGCATCTTCCATAGACCATGGCATCACCAGCTGACACCACCCACTAGGTGAGCAATGGTGTTGTATCAGCGCTTAGAACCGCTTACATGCACAGTGAAGTCAGCTAACCTCACTGGCTTTTTTCCTAGAATAATAAGACATTTTGTTTTGTTTTGTTTTCTCTGATGCTTTAGGAAGGGTTAAGAAACTTCAAGGAACTTCGAGCCAAATTTCAAAAGCTTGATGTGCCATCTCTTCCAGGACCTATTAAATTCTCAGCAGGCGTTCCTCAAAAGGGTGACATTGGAAACACACAATCAAGAATTTTGGCCAATGGGAAACCCCTCTCGTCCAACCAAAATCCGCTCCCACCATGCTGTTCTAGTGCAGAACCCCAGCTTCTAAAACCCCAGGAAACAAAGTTAGCCCAGAGGAGTGAGATTCAGAAGTGTTCGAATTCCCCAGGACCTCCGGAAAGGTCTCCTGGTTCTGCAGTAAATTCCCAGAAAACTTCTCTACTGTTAGACATGAGTCCGTTGAATGCCGAGATAACCAACAAGAGGAGAGTCATGGTGAAGGAGAGCTTCAAAGATAAGCTCTGGAACTGGGAGAAGGTTTCATCTCAGAAGAGTGAGTTGTCTTCAGCCTCTCTCCTTGCCAGTTGCGCACACAGGGCCTTCCATCCGGAGGAGCAGATAAGCACAGGGCTTCCTCCAAAGGAACCCAGGAGAAAGCTGGAAATAAAAGGACCGCAGACCCTGCCTTCCCAGAGGCACTTGATGGCCCAAAGAGAATCACTTGCCTCTCCTGAAGATCCCACTTTTCTACTTGTTCAACATGGCAGGAAGAGCCTAGAAAACCCTCTTCCTGAGAGGAGCCCAGGGAGGGGCTCCTGCCAGCCAATCTATGAGAGTGAACTTGCCAGCCAGGCCCCAGGTGAGATGTAATCCCTGTGGGCCCAGGGGAGGGGCCGCTGTGTTTTTCTAATTTAGAGCCTACCAAAGATCATGTATGATCTGGGTGAATTTTGCTCCAAATGCCAGGGCAGGTATTCTAGGCCCATCTGCCAAATTGTAATTTCAGGTTTGGGTAAAGTGCTTAATCTCCTGGAATTCTATTGAAAGATAGTTTGGGCAAGCTTGGGTTTGAATCCTAGCTCTACTTCTTACAACATGCATGAACTTGGGCAGTCCACTTAACCTCTTATAGCCTGGTCTGCTCTCCTGTAAATCAGATTCATCACCAATCTGCCCCAACTTGGTAAACAGCACAGCCATCCTCCTAGTTGCTCAGGCCAAAAACCTAGGAGCCATACTCTATTCCTCTCTCCCTCTCATTCTTTGCATCCACTCCATCAGCAAGCTCTTGGTTCTACTACCAAAATATGTTCTGTATCTCTCCACTTTGGTCCATTTCTGCCCTCTGCCCTATCTATACCACTGTCATCTCTCACCTGGACCACAGTGGTCTGGCTGGTTTCTCTGCTTCCACACTCTTGCCCTCCACTACCCTATTCTCCCATCAGGCATAGTGATCCTCTAAAGCACAAATTAGATCACATCACTCCCCTGCTCAAATTCAACTCTAGCCATCTTACACCAGCTAATGCCATTTGGCCCTTCCTACCTCTCCTTCTACCACCTTGGCCTTCTTGCTTTTCCTTAGATAAACCAAGCTAGTTCCACCCCAGGGCCTTTACACTTGCTGATCTCTCTGCCTGGCACAAGCTTCCCCCAGGTCTTTGATGTCTCACTCCCTCACTTCATCATGGTCTCTGCTGAGGGTCACCTGTTGTGAGTGGAATTTGTGAGTCACCATCTACAATAACCACCCCACCTCCGTCAGTCTCTGTCTTCTTATGTTGCTTTGGTTTTCTTCATTGCCCATCCCTACCTTGTATATTGTGACATATCTGTTTGTTTACCTCAGTAAAATGTAAGTTACATAAGGATTAAAAACTGTCTTCCTTATCACCATATCCCCAGCACCTAAAAGAACAAGGCCAGGTTCAACAGGTCCTCAAAACCTATTTATCGACTACTTGAATGAATGGGTAGATGGACAGGTGGGTGGAGGGATCTCCTGCTTACAACCATATATGTATTTAGAATAGAATCTAAACTATTTACTACTGATTTCATGGCTCTGCACCTTCTGAGCCCTGCTTATGGATCTGACTTACTGCTGCCCTGGCTCATGAGTGGACACACTGGATTTCTTGCTGTTCTGTGAAGAGACTTTATTGTGCTCGGAACATTTACATTTGCTCTTTCTCTTCCTAGAAAACTCTTCTTTGAGCCCTCTGTAGCTACATTTAGGTCTAAGTTCACATGACACTTTCTCAGATAATCCTTCTCTAACCTCTGTATCCAAAGACCGCTGTCTCGCCGTGAGCAGTTGGCACTCGTTCCTATCAGCCTGTTTTATTTCTTTCATAGAACTGACAGGTCTCTGTGATTACCTTGTTTGTGTGTTTCTCATCAGTCTCCTCCTATTAGAATGAAAATTCCTGAGGGCAAGGCTCTATCTGTTCTTGTTCTTAACTCTATACCCAGCTTCTAGAACGATGCCTGGACTGTAGTAGATAAATTGTTATTGATGAAGGGATAGGAAAGTAGAATGAATGGGAGGAAGGAAAGAAGGATGGATTGCCTGCCTGACGGAGCTGTTGAGGGGATTAAATGAGCTGACCCATGTCCATCTCTTAGCACAGTGCCTGGTAAAAATTAGGAACCCAATTTGTAAGGGATCATTCATTTTCACTACATCTTCTTAATTTGATAAAAACTGAAGTTTCTGACATCATGACTTATAATCAAAGCCTAAGAAGAAAGGAGCTTGGTCCTAACTGATGTAACCCCTGCTAGTGGGGCAAGAAGGAAGCCTCCCTCCTCCCTCCCCCCCTCCCAGCCTCTTTGCTCTCAGAGGGCAACAGGGCTCTGAGGAAGTTGTATGGAGGCCAACGTCTTTATTTTTTGGCATGGATGGTACATGTAGTCAACCACTGTATTATGTGAACCCCAAATCAAGGCACTTGGATCATACAAGGTTTTGTGCTATTTTCACTGTAAGAGGCAGATACGATTTTCATATGTAACATTGGAATTTCTGTTGGAGTTTGGCTTCTGAGCACAGAAGGACCAAATGTATGAAATTGAGATTGTCCTGGAAAATTCCAGGACACAAAACCCCAAAATCCATGTACCTCAAAGTTAGCCTTGTCCCAGGCTATGAGTCCTGGAAATCGGAGATCAATTCGTCCTCTTTATAGCCCCCATGTTATTTGCATGCCCTAAGTGATTGAAGCATCCTCTTGGGGAATAGTCACCATCCATTTCCTTGGAAGTAGGTACCATGCTCGATGGTGGCAGAGATCGGTGTGGCCTGGTGCCTGCACGTGAGCAGCTCTCACTCGATGGGAAGATGGACCCACCCCTCTCATATGCCACAACACTGAGAGAGGTGTTAACAATACGTTGTGAGGGTACAAAACAGAGAGTGGCTAATTCTCTCCTCGATTTTGAAATCAAATAAAGTTTCCCAGAGGAGGTGTCATTGGAACAGGGCCTTAAAAAATGAGAGCTTTCTAAGAAAGAAGTGAGGGAAGAGCATTCCAGAACCAAGAAGGGCATGAACAAAGTCTTGGATATACGATGGTTTTTTAAATCAAATTTGGAGAATTGAGAAGCCATTGGTGTGAGTGAAAGATATTTGGGCTTAAGGTTGGGAAAGTAGGATGGTAAAGGGTGGTAAGAGAAGAATCTGGAAATGTGGATTGGGGTCATGTGGTGTTTACATGCCAGAGGATGAAGTACATACATGGACGTCCTGCTGAGGAAGCCAGGCTTCAGCCTCGGGCAGCAGGCTGGTGACATGATCAGCTTTGCGTTTTGATCAGGGCATTCTGGCCAGTAGGAAGAGAATAAAGGGGAGAGAGACTGAGGCAAGGACTGGTCAGTTTCACCCAAGAAGATATGAATGGAAATAGTAATAACCTGCATTATCTTCTTATTATCCATGCTCAGAGAAACAGCCAGTTGATAGGCATCACCAACTTCTCAAAACGAAACCACTGCCTTCCATCAAGTCCCTGGGTCTTCCTCCCCCAAAGCCTCCGAAGCCCCCATTCGTGAACCTCCAGGCCTTCCAGAGGCAGGCAGCTGCAATTTCCAAGGTCCACAGGGAAGGTAAGAAAACGCACAGGGCCCCACACACAGCCAGCCAGCAGGAGTCACGGTTCCAACACCCGTGTCCCCTCTGTTACCTCCCTCTCCGTGTCAACTCCCAGGTGATAATGCCCAGCTGCTTTTCCATGGGGCTGGACATCCATCACTGGTTATTTCACGTACAGGCTATGGCAGCTTGCCCATGAAATGACAAATCTGTGGGAATTGGCCCCTTATCGCTCCTGGGCCAGCCCGCTTCCCCTGAGAGCATTGCATTTGATCACTGGGAATCTGTCCAAGAGGAAGAAAAAGAAAAGTAGTTGAGCAGGGAGCAGGGAGTTTGTGTGTTTCCTACAAAGCCTGTGTTGTCAACACAATCAGTGCAGTAGGAGAGGGGAGAGAGTGAAAAGGGAGGAAAGGCACTGTTAACTTGACCTGTGATCCTAATGGGGGTCCCTCTGGCCTCTGTGATCTGCCTTTGGTAATTAGCTGAAGGGCCCCCACCCCTGCCCCCACTGGCCCTTTCCAAGAACTGAAGCATCCTGGGAAGTCCTTCTTCTGTGCTGTTTTGTGTCTTCCTCTGCTCCTTAAAGAAACGCCTTCTCATTCCCTCTCCACCTGCACCGTGCTCTGATCTTGTTGACACTTCAAATGCCTTTGCTTATGTTTGCACTAATGAAACATGAGGCGAACACACACTTTGGGGTGCTATGTAGTGCCGTGCTAACATTTGTCTTACTGTGGCCACGAGCGCCAGCAGATGGTACACTCAGCTGATGCCATCTTGCATTGTTCATTTGAGCACTTTGAACAACCTCATGGCAGTTAAATTTCTTGGACTCTGGTTCTCAAAGTTCAGCCTGCACCAGAAGCACCTCGAGGACTTGTCAAGACACAGATCACAGGGCCCTATTCCTGGAGTATTCTGGTTTATTCGGTCTGGATTGGGTGCCTAAGAATTTGCCTTTTTAACAAGTTTCCTGTGGGGATGCTGATGCTGCTGGTCGAGGGACCATACTTGGAGAACCACTGCTGCAAGTCATCTTAAGTCTTATCCTAAAAGAAAGTTCATCTTGTGTCCCCTTGTGCATGCACCTAATCTCAGTTGATTTGGCCAAGACCCCCTAGTACCAACCCTAGTCCCCCAAGGTCTCATTTCCTCTCCACCAAGATGAACCAGGAGAAACTCGCCAGACTGCAAGCCCAGGTGCACATTGGTGGAAAAGGAACAGCTTGCTGGAAGAAGGTGGTTCATAGAATGGCTACAGCCCTAGTTCTCCTTTTTTTTGTTTTGTTTGGTTTGGTTTTAAGATTTTATTTACTTATTAGAGAGAGAGCATGTGAGAGCATGCATGGGGCGGGGGAGGGGCAGAGGGAGAAGCAGACTCCCCACTGAGCAGGGAGCCCGATGCGGGGCTCGATTCCAGGACCCTGGGATCATGACCTGAGCCAAAGGCAGACTCTTAACCGGCTGAGCCACCCAGGTGCCCCAAACCTTAGTTCTCCTTAAAGAAGTGAGGGGTAAACAATATCTCTGGTATTGAAGAAGAGAATATGGTCACATACCAAGGAACCACGATCCCTTTCCACAAGCCTGAAGTCCAGGCATCAGGGGCAGCGACAGCCCTCACCATCACGGGCCATGCTGAGGAAGCAGCTGACAGAAATGCTACCAGTGTCTTAAACCAACTTGGTGCAGACCATCTGACTAGTTGAGGACGACTGGCGGAAGCTCTGCCCATACAGGGCGTGGATGGAAACGCACCACTTGCTACCAGAGAGGAGGAGGAGGAAGAGGAGGTTCCAGACCTTGTGGAGAATTTTGACGAAGCTTCCAAGAATGAAGCAAACTGAATTAAGTCAACTTCTGAAGAAGATGAAACTTGAAGAAGTGACTGGGAGCTGCTGTTTTATATGATGACTGCTTTTTAAAATTTTGTTCGTGGATCTGACGGACTCGAGATCTCTAGTATTTTTAAGCCCAAGCCCTGTGGACACTGCAGCACTTTTCGGTTTTTGCTTAGACACTATTTGTTCGTTGCAGCTCATTAACCTGGAGAAGCCTGGGAAGTTTGAAATAAGGTTAATAAAGTTCTTTGCCTGGTTAAAAAAAAAAAAGAAAGAAAATGAAAGAAAAGAAAACAAAAGAGCTCTCTTATAAGTATACTTTAATAATAATTTGGCCAGGGCACCTGGGTGGCTCAGTTGGTTAAGCGACTGCCTTCGGCTCAGGTCATGATCCTGGAGTCCCTGGATTGAGTCCCGCATCAGGCTCCCTGCTCAGCAGGGAGTCTGCTTCTGCTTCTGACCCTCTCTCCTCTCGTGTTCTCTCTCTCATTCTCTCTCTCAAATAAATAAATAAAATCTTAAAAAAATAATAAATAATAAATTAAAAAATAAATAAATAATAATTTGGTCACCTCCATAACAGAGAAGGCTAAGTATGATTTTTATAAACATTAAATAATTCAGACCTCAAACCCTCTCTCTGAAAGCGAAGAAGGTTGTCAGAAGAACATAGAACAAAGCACCAAGTCTTCTGTAGTAAAATGGCCTTTGTAAATCCCAGCTCCCCGACTCACTAGCTATTTAAGTTTGGGCATCTTACTCACTGAGCCTCATTGTCCTTATCTGTAAAGTGGGGATGACAGTAGCACTCATCTCTCAGGGTTTTTGTGAGGATAAATGAGATGAGTCATGGAAAGGGTTTAAACAGTGCTTGGCACACCAGTAAGCTCTCACTAAATGCACGCTATCATTATTATAAGCTCGTGTTGAGCAGCCACGCTCTCTTTGCCCTGGGTGCTGTGAGAGACATGAGAGTTAAAGAGAGAACCCCCCCCACACACACAAGTTCTGGTGCTCCAGAAGGTCAGAGTCTCATCCTAAAGATCAAGATCGTATATATAGAAACACCACATAGCGTGGGTGAGTGCTGCGCTGCAGGACGGAGGGCCCCCTAGGTGCTGGGGGGCAGGGAGGCTTGGGGCACCAATGAGTTGCCACTCCTCATTTTGTCTCTGGGGTCAGGGCATTGCACAAACAAAGTTCACTTTTGTCAGGCTGCCACCTATGCCCCTTTTTACTCTGCCTCTTGCTCTTGCAGCAACTGTGGAAGAGACCTGCCTGCCTCCAGAGAGGTGAGTACCTGTTTCTTAATTGTGGGGGAGCATAGAGCATGGCGCATTGACAGGCCGAGAGCGGGCAAAAAGCACAAGGCAGGGCGCCTGGGTGGCTCAGTCGGTTAAGTGGCTGCCTTCGGCTCAGGTCATGATCCCAGGGTGCTGGAATCGAGTCCCACGTCGGGCTCCCTGCTCGGCGGGAAGCCTGCTTCTCCCTCTCCCACTCCCCCTGCTTGTGTTCCCTCTCTCGCTGTCTATCTCTGTCATATAAATAAAATAAAATCTTAAAAAAAAAAAGCACACGGCAGGTGTCTGTGTATCTCAGAAGGGTTGCAGGAAGAACAGATTTATAAGGAACAAACTGCAACTTTTGTTTTAGAGGCGAGATTAAATAAACTGCATTTAACTGCTGTGCTGACATTAACTTGCAAAGGTGGTCCTCTGAGCTACTTTTATTTATTATACAGCTGGGTTCAGTAAATTGAAACATCAGCTTCCATAGTAATAAATCAAATTAGAGGCTGCGGAATGCTGTGGGCATTGGTGTGATGTTAGGACTTGGTAATGGGATAGAAGACCTTCTGTTTTTGCTGTACTTATTCTGAGAATTTTGCCATGTAAGTGTCAGGTCGTTAATTCACTCAACCAAATATTATCTGTTGAGTCCTTTGATGTGTCATGCATTGAACTGGCTGCCTTTTACAGATTTTCTTGCTTCCTTTTCTCAAGGCTGCAATATTGCCACTGCTGGCCTCATTTTATAGCTAAAGGCATTTGGGCTCAGAGAGTCTGGCCACTTGCAGAAACATGATTCCAGCCCAAGTATCCTCAAACTATTTTTTCTATTGAATATAATGGAAACATAAGCTTGTGTAAGTTTGAGGTATACAAGGTGTTAGTTTGATACATACATAAATCACGGTCTGTGATCATACACTCTAGCAGTGTTAGCTAACACCTTCATCACCTCACATAACTCTCATTTCTTTTTTGTGTTGAGAACAGTTAAGATCTAATCTCTTAGCAACTTTAAAAGTTATAACACATTATATTTTTTACCGTAATCACTCTTTGTACGTTAGATCTCCAGAACTTATCTACTAGTTGTAAGTTTGTACCCTTAAACAACTTCTCCCCAATTTACTCACCCCTCAGCCCCTGGTAACTACAATTTACTCTGTTTTTACAAGGTTCGGTTTTTTAGGTTTCATGTATAAGTCATACTCTACAGTAATTGTTTTTCTGTCTGACTTATCTCACTTAGCATAATGCTACCAAGGTCCATCCATGTTGTCACAGATGACAGGACTTTCTTCTTTCTTGTGGCTAAATAACATTCTATTGTATATCTACTTCACATCTTCTTTATCCCTTCATCTGTTGATGGGACACTTGGGTTGTTTCCATATCTTGGCTATTGCGAATAATGCTGTAGTGTTAACGTGAGTGTAGCAGTCTCTCTTCGAGATGCTGATTTCATTTTCTTCAGATACATACCCAGGAGCGCTGGATCATATGGCAGTTCAATTCGTAATTGAACTTCTATACTCTTGTCTGTAATGGCTGTACTAACAGGTATGCCTAAACTGTTTTGATTGTATCACGTCACTTCCCTCACAAAGATGTTCCTTTTCTCAAGAAGGTCAGCCTTAGAAGAAGTAAGCATAGGGGCGCCTGCGTGGCTCAGTCGTTAAGCGTCTGCCTTTGGCTCAGGTCATGATCCCAGGCTCCTGGGATCGAGCCCCGCATTGGTCTCTCTGCTCAGCCAGGAGCCTGCTTCTCCCTCTCCCGCTCCCCCTGCAAGCATAAAAACAAATAATCATATTATTTACCAAATGTTTATAATAGTAGAGTGTGTTAAGTTTTCTAATAGGGGAAAGTACAAGAGTTAGAGGTTGTGCAAATATGGGAGTGATTGCCTGTCCTTGGGAAGGCCAGTGAAGTCTTGATAGAAAATGTATCCATTATCTTTTGCTACAATCATACTACATGATAGGCAACAAAATATCCATAGCACAGAGCAGGAGTGTGGGTTTGGCTGATCTGGACTGAGCTCAGCTGGTATTGCTAGTATGTTGCAGACTACCTAGGCAGTTTTGCTGATATGGACGGGGGTTGCTCATGTGTAGGGGTCAGGCTGCAGCCGGCTGATCCCAGATTGCCTTGGCTGACATGAGTGGGGCAACCTGACTTAACACCAGCTGTCTCACCCTCCAGCAAGTTAGCTGAGCAACGATGTTCAGCCACAGCAGACAAGCAGGACAATCCCCATTGCACAAACACTTTTTCAACTCTGTGTGTCATATTTGCTAACATCCTCTTGGTCAAAGCAAGTCACATGGCCCAGCTTCAGAGTGGGAGGACGCCAAAACTTTACCTAAAAAGGGGCAGGGATCCCGGAAGGAAACATTTGCAGGGAGTACCGAGGATCGACATGTGCTGGGTAACATAGAGAGGGGTGCTAGAGGCAGAGGCAGGAGGCGTAAGGAAGCAGGTCTCAATGGTGAAAATTAGAAATAGGTAAGTAGAACTGGTGTGGAAAGGGTGGTATGAATGGAGAGAAATGCTACTGCAGAGGAAGACAGGAGCCAAATCTTGGAGGTTCTTGTCCACCAAGGAACTGACCATGGGTGTTGGGCATGGTTCATGTGTCCCAGGAACTTCTAGTTTAGTCGCCCATTTAGAAGAGTTAAATGACTGCACACGGTGGGTCAGTGAAGCCACATTCTATGTGCATTTATGTGAAAGAGAAAATTTAGACAGCTAAGGCAATGATTTGCACTGCTTACTCGATGAACGTGGGCCCCCCCAGTGTGACAGTTTGAGGGGACAGTGTAATTCTGCTGTGCTCTGAGCCAGTCTTGGCTCCCTCAGGACTCGCGTTCCGTGAGCATCTCAGCGCGACTGTATGTATGCTGTGATCGTAGTGTGTAACTAGATCGGTATTCTTCCTACAGTTTGGCTCTGAAATAAGCTGACTTCTTCTCTGGCCCTTTAATCAAAGACAGCAGTCTGTTTCCACATGGAGGACAAACTTGCTTGACGGGCAAGTATTGGGAAACAGTAGCAAGTCTCCAATGTGACAACTTCTTCCTAAGGGATTTGGGAGGGCAATCGGACTGTTGTGTCCTTTCACACTGGCTTTAGAACCTAACCATCATCAGAAATGAGGTTCGTTGTACCTCAGTTATGATATGGGCCATAGTGTTGTCAGAGTACAAAGCAAAACAGACAAAGAGGGACCTGGGATACTTAGGGGAGGCTTCATGGAGGAGGAAAGATCTTCAGATGTCTCCTGCATGATGGGTCTGAATTAGTAGGTTTACTTATTCCCTTTTGTGAAACTGTACAGTAGGTGAAGGCAGGGCACTGTTCCCAGAAATGACCACATTCCTAACTTATCATTGGTTAATGGATGATGGATAGACCAATGGATGTTCAGTATAGAAATAGAACATGACTGAAAACAAGGCAGTAGTAATAAAGTGGAGAATGAACAGACACAAAGTATTCTGATGTGGAAGAATTAGAGATGAGGTTGGATCCTAATGTTAATTACATGCCATGCTGAGGAGTTAGGACCATAGCTTGCAGTGATGAGTTTAAACAAGTAAATGGCATGATGCTGAGCAGCCTTAGATACAACTTCCATGGAAACCAGTGCTTGTTTGGAAAGAACATCTCCTGTGTTCATGGTATTAATCTTCAGTACAAGTATTAGATTAGGAACAGAATACATTGGGTCTCATTACTGGAAGGGGACCTGGCAATTAACAAATCTGGGGTTTTTAATCTGAGCCCCACCACTTAACACCTGCATAACCTTGGACAAATGCCTTAACCTCTGCAAACCTTACTTTCTACTTATGGAAAATGGGAGGCTGATAAGACCTAACTCATATAGTTGTGGTGATGTTAAATGCAACAATAATTGTAAAGTGTTGAGTGCAGTACCGAGCATCTAGAGACTATTCCATAAAGCTTGCTTAGCTATCATATAACCCCCTCCAAAGGCAGGAATCCATGCTCAGAACCTTAATCTCTTCAAAAGTCCTTTGAGGAGGAGTTCATTCCCTGAAGAATAAGAGATGAGGTTGGATCCTAAAGTTAATTAGGTGCCATGCTGAGGAGTTGGGACCGTAGCTTTCAGTGATGAGTTAACTTAAACAAGTAGTATGTTTTTCTTGTTGGGGCAGATTTTATTCATTCAACGTATATATTTTTTTAATTTAAATTCAATTAGCCAACATATAGTATATCATTAGTTTCAGATGTAGTGTTCAACAATTCATCAGTTGCACATTCAAAATATATTTATTGACTGTCTACTATATGCCAAACCCTCTTATATATGTTGAGAACACAGCAGGGTATAGAGTAGACAAAAGTATCTTACATGCATGCACACATACATGCACACACACATTTGTTTTATTTATTCAAAAGTCCAAGGTGAGCTGGGACCAAAAACTGACATCCCTACCCCAGATTCCCAGCCATCTGTCCAAGATCTGCTCATTGGTAGAGTAGACAGGGTCTTTACCCCTCCCTTACCTGACAGTTTCTTAAAATATCTAAGGACTACATTCTGTTAAACAAAACTTTCATCATTTTCAACCATTATTCCCAAAATAGTCTATGTTTTACCCATATTTTTTTAAAGATTTTTATTTATTTATTGAGAGAGAGAGAGAGAATGATAGAGAGCATGAGAGGGAGGAGGGTCAGAGGGAGAAGCAGACTCCCTGCTGAGCAGGGAGCCCAATGTGGGACTCGATCCTGGGACTCCAGGATCATGACCTGAGCTGAAGGCAGTCACTTAACCAACTGAGCCACCCAGGCGCCCCACCCATATTTTTATAGATATATGTTTTTAATCATCTTGTTAGAAACTCAGTGCATTTACAGTAGCCACTTTCGCTTTTGAACCTTCACATCCTGCATTGTGTCCTGCAACGAGTACAAGTCTGGAGTCAGATTCCCATAGAGTCAGACCCCTCCTCTACACCTACGACAGC